TAGATAGAGGGGTGATATAGATAGATAGTTCATGATAGTATAAATCGTCATGATAGAAAAGTATCATGATAGATAGGTAGTCATATAGATATAGTCAGTGATAGATAGAGAGTCATGATAGATAGAATAGTTCATGATAAATAGCTACTCATGATAGATAGATAGTCAGATATATAGATAGTGATCATAGATATATAGTCATCATAGATAGATAGTCATGATAGATAGGTAGTCATGGATAGATAGATAGTCATGATAGATAGATAGTCCATGATAGATTCGATAGTCATGATAGAAAGAGGGTAATCAAGATAGTAGTCTGATAGATAAATCTCATGATTAGATAGATAGTAGATGATAGATTAGGTAGTCATGATAGTGAGATAGTCATGTAGATAGATAGTCAATGATAGATCGATATTCATGAATACGATAGAGGGTAAATCATAGATTAGATTAGTCCATAGATCGATATCAATGATAGATAGAGGGTAATCATAAGATAGATAGTTCATGATAGATAAAATAGTCATGATAGATAGGATGGTATCATAGATAGATTAGTCCATGTAGTAGTAGTCATGATAGATAGGTAGTTCATGATAGATAGATAGTCATGATAGATAGATAGTCATGATAGATAGATAGTCATGATTAGATAGATAGTCATGATAGGATAAGATCATGATAGTAGATAGTCATGATAGATGTAGATAGTCATGATAGATAGTTAGTCATATAGATAGATAGTCATGATAGATGGATAGTCATGATAGATTAAGTATAGTCATGATTAGAATAGTTCATGATAGAAGAGAGTCATGATAGATAGATAGTCATTTAGATAGGTAGTCATGATAGATAGATGTAATCATAGATAGATAGTCTGATATATAGATTAGTCATACAGACTGGAAGTCATTGATAGATAGATATCATGATAGATCATAGTCATGATAGATAGAGGGTAATCATAGATGATAGTCATGATAGATAGTCATGGAAGATAGATAGTCATGGATAGATAATTAGTCATTGATAGATAGGTAGTCGATAGATAGTAGTCCATGATAGATAGATAGTCATGATATGGATCGATATCATGATAGATAGAGGGGTAATCATAGATAGATAGTCATGATAGATAAATCGTCATGATAGATAGGATAGTTAATGATAGATAAGTAGTCATGTAGAAGATAGCATGATAGATGGATAGTCAGTAGATTGGAGGAATCATAGATAGATAGTCATCATAATTATATAGTCATCATAGATAGATAGTCTATGATAGTAAATAGTCATGATAAGATGATGGTAATTCTAGATAGATAGTCATTGTAGATAGATGTCATGATAGATAGGTGTCATGATAGGAGCAAGGTAGAAGTCATGATATAGAAGATGATAGATAGATAGTCATGATAGATAGAGAGTCTATGAGTAGATAGATATCATGATAATAGATAGTCATGATAGATAGTTAGTCATGATTAATAGATATCATGATAGATGGAGTCAGAAGATAGATAGTCGAAGATAGTCATGATGATAGAGAGTCATGATAGATAATAGTCATGATGATAGGTAGTCATGATTAGAAATGGTACATAGAAGGATAGTATATAAAGAACAACGAGGAATGTCATGATAGATAGATAGTCATGATACATCGAAGTCATGATAGATAGAGGGTAATCATAGATAGTAGTCAATTGAATTTAGTAAGGCCCCAGGGGTGATAGATAGACGAGTATGAGTTAAAATCGTCATGATAGATAGATAGTCATGAAGGATAGAGGGTAATCATAGTAGATAGTCAGATAGAATCAGAGAAAGGATGTCAGATAGATAAAAGCGTCATGTAGATAATAGTCATGATAGATAGTGGTAATCATAGATAGTAGTCATGAATAGATAGATAGTCATTATAGATAGGGGTAATATAGATAGATAGTCAGGTAGATATCATCATAGATAAGGTAGTCATGATAATAGTAGTCATGATAGATAATAGTATGGATAGAAGATCAGTCATGATAGATAGATAGTCATGATAGATAGATAGCATGATATATAGAGTCATGACAGTATAGATATCATGATAGATAGATAATCATGATATATAGATAGTCATGTAGGATAGATAGTCATGATAGATAGATAGTAATAAAAGATAGTCATGACAGATAGATAGCATGATAGATAGGTAGTCATGATAGATAGAATAGTTCATGATATATAGATAGTATGACAGAGGATAGTTCATGATAAGATAGATAGTCGATGAAATCGATAGTCATGGATTAGATAGAGAGTCATGATAGATAAAGCGTCAGTGATAGATCGATAGTCATGATAGTGTTAGAGGGTAATCATAGAAGATAGTCATGATAGATAGTCATTATAGATTAAGAGATGTCATGATTGATAGAGTTCATGATAGAATAGTCATGATAGAGTGAGAAGTCATGATAGAAAATCTCATGTAGATAGAAAG